TCCCGCAGGGCTGCCTGCGGGTCCCGGCTGCGCTTAGACGGAGCCGAAGCGCTCACCTGCCGACCAGCCTGAACCAGGGGAAGCGGTCGTAGAAGGGATCTCCGCCGGTCACCACGTTGTCGCAGTCCTCGATGACACTAGAAGGCACTTCGGCGGCACGGTCATACATTTCACGCATCAGGTCCAGACGCTGCCTGCAGGCAGAGGGCGCATGCGGTGGGCGCTGGTGAGAAACCAGGCTGAGGCCAGCCAAGCCTGCTCCGGCGCAGGCATCGTTCGCCCACCTCAGCTTCTCCAGGGTCCAGTAATGTGTCGCCCCGTTCTTCTGGTCCTGCACCTCTACGGCCACAATGGTCCGGGGGAATGGCCGCTTCTCCCGGTCCTTGGCAGCGTCGGGAGGCAGCAGGTCGGGAGGGAGAGGCGAGTACAGCGTATCCGTGAGGAGCACAAACTGGAACTGGACCTGGGGAGAGGCAGAGGGGGACAGTGAGCCCCCTGGGGAGACAGCAGGATCCGTGCGGTGCCTTCAGCAACCCCCTCCTCAGCGCTGCCCACGCTCGTGGCCTCCGCCATGGGTGCTGCAGCGAGCCGAAGGGCACCCACCTTCTTCTTCAGCTCCACGCTGATGGCATTGGCTTCCTTGAGGAAGATGGCGTTGCCCCAGAGCAGGTCACGGAGGGAGGTGAACTGGTACCACTTCCACTTCCTAAAGGCCCAGAGGGCCAGCTCGAATTCCCGCTCCGTCCACTGCACTGTGGGGACATGGAGGGACGGTGACGCCGCCACTGGGAGGGAGGACAGGACGCAGAGGTGCCTGGAGGACCCGCAGTCCTCTTCTTGCTCCCACAGAGAGCATCAAAACCCAGCCCTCACCTTCATCCTCAGGTTCCTCCTCTTCCTCGTTTGCCTCAGGGTAATACCTAGAGTCCATCTGCTTCTGCAAAGCCTCCAGTTTGCTCTCATAGTCCTGGGAGAAGCAGGGCGAGGGGTGATGGAACCCACAAGGTGTGACCTTCCTCCATGTGGCCACACAGCATTGCCCCCCCCCAGGACCCTGGCCTTCTCTCTCCTCTGGATTCGTGCTTATGGGTGCAACCCCAGGAACAATGGGCTAGCCCTTGTTTTTAGGACAAGCAGAGCCACGCCATGCAAATATCTGCCTGGACTTGGCCATGCCTGGGCAGCCGGAGAAGGAGCCAGGTCCTCGCCACCTACCAGCCTCTGCTGCTCCAGAAGGTAATTCGCCTACTCCCGCTCCCGCCGGTACTGGTCCTCCAGTTCCTGGAGCCTGGGAGAAACGGGGAAGGAGAGGATGACCAACCTGGAGGTGGATACCCAGCTCCCCGCTGCCCTGGCCCCCGTGCCCTCACCGCTGCTCCATCTCCTGCTTCATGTCGATGCCCTGCTTCTCCAGCAGCTCTCTTTGAGCAAAAGCCCAGTCCACGGGCTCAGCGGGGGTCTCGGCGCATGGGGTCCGCTCCCGCTCTTGCCGAGCCTGCTCGGGGTGGTTGAAGCGGAAGACGTGGCTCTTCCCCATGATGATGCGGTTTCCTACAGGAATGCGCGGGGGGCGGGGGAAGAGGGTGTGGGTTCAAGGTGGGACAACCCGCAGGGCCCCCGGGGGATGGAGGAAGGCAATGGTAGTGCGGGGCTGATGGGCTGGCTCTGGGGGGGGACACACACCTGAGCGCAGGACGCTGGGCTCCGTCACCTTTTTGCCATTCACGTAGGTGTCGGCGCCTTCACAGGGCTCCAGGGTCACTATTACTGCAGACAGGGTGGGATGGGAAGGGGGGGAGCAAGGGATAAATCCTGCATCTCCCACTCCGCTGCTCCGTCAGCCTCTGAAAGGGAGAGCTGCCCCTGCCAGGACTCCCGGCACAGAGTGGTGGGATGCCAGGGCACCCACACCCGGGGCAGCTGATGGGGCTCGGCCAACCTCATGTTAATCAAAGCAGCCCCAAGGACTAAAAGCAGCTGGAGACTGGGGAGGAGAGATCGGAGCACCCAGCACGCATCTCCAGCTTCCCCCGACTCATCCCCCAGAACCCAGTCACCCCAGGTTCCTGCTGGTTTGCAGGGTGGGCTCTGCTCTTCCCCTCGCCCCAACCCATCTGGCTCGCCTGACTGCAGCAGCTCCCACGTGCCTTGCAGGAGCTTCCCTCGAGCCAGGCAAGGGCCGCAGCTGGCCCTGGAAGCATGGGGAGGCCACAGCCATGCAGGGGAGCCCCATTAGTCTGAGGAGGGCAGGACTGCCAGCTGGGAGCACACAGAGGGACTGGGGTCCCCAGGGAGGTGGAGCCCATCCAGACAAGGAATACCTTCACCGCCAGTTTTGGTGTCGCTGCGGAAAAGGCAGTGCTCTTCCTTAATGAAGTGCCCGCTGAGAACGATGTCCTGCCTCTTCTCTGCATCTTCCCGGCCAACCCTGCCGGGGGGAAACCCAGCTCAATCAGCCCCTCCCTGGGCCTCCCCCCACGGCCATCCTCGGGGCTGAGAGGAGCCCCTGGTGCGCAGCAGGACCAACGTGCAACCAATGCATTTTTCCCCACACAGCTACGGCACTTTGGGGGTGCCCTGGGAACGGTGCCCAGCCTGGGGACAGCTGTCACCCTGCCACCCACCCAGGCACATTGGGCTCCCACCACCCCACAGGACCTGGCCCTCACCTCGTTATCCCGTCCTTGATGTAGTAGAGAAGACACTCGGACATGAGCGGGTCCTCGTTCAGGTTGACCAAGTGGGGCGTCTGGGAGACACAAAGAAGGAGTCACCCCGGTACACCCTGTCCACCCAGCCACTGAGGGATGCTCCCAAGGGAGGTGGGAACCCAGCAGCACCCCAGGCTGCCCCCGACACAGGCTCTCCTGCCCTCCACAGCTCCAGGGCATGCCCAGGCGGGTGCCTTTCAGGGGGACCGCAGAGCACTGAGCAGCCAAGACCTGCCTCCACACCCCTCCTTGCTTTCCTGCTGGAAGGGCTGGGCCCTGGGCATCCTTCCCCCTTCAAAATCTGTGTTGTGAATGGGCCCAACAGGGAGCTGAGCGCTTCCCGTGGGGGGTCCCTGAGGCAGCTCGGTGTCTCCAGGGGCGGGACCCTTCTCGCCTGCACCACATGTCCACGGGTCCTTGCTGCACCAGAGTCCCCAGCTCCACTGCGGACAGCGTAGCCGAGGCAGAGACATGTCCCATCCAGCAGCTGGTTTGGGATGAGAGGAACTAAAAGTGCCCATTTTCTTCCACCGACAGTACAAGGACAGATGAGGCACCTCCCAGACCAGAGGTTCAACCAAAAGCAGTGGGGACCTGAAGCAGTATCTCCAGGGTAAACTTTACTCCCTGGTCTCCTTCCTAGAAGCTCCCTCCCATCACTTTCTTCCCCTGGGTCACCAACCACTTTGTTCTCTATGAGAGGGAGGTTTCTCCCCTGACCGCAGACCTCTCCACTGCAGATACCTTATCCCACCCCATCGCAAGCTGCTGTGATCATTATTATGGCCTCAAGTTGTGCCAGGGCAGGTTTAGGTTGGACATTGGGAAAAATTCCTTCCCTGCAAGGGCTGTCAAGCACTGGAAGGGGCTGCCCAGGGAAGGGGTCGAGTCCCCATCCCTGGGGGTATTTAAAAGCCGGGCAGAGGAGGTGCTTAGGGCCAGGGTTTAGTGGTGGGCTGGCAGGGTTAGGGGAACAGTTGGGCTTGGTGATCTTAAAGGGCTTTTCCAACCCAAACAATTCTGGGATTCTACGATTGCACCTTCAGGCAACAGGCAAAGTCCTGGGAGTATCAGGAGGTGAAGTTCTGAGTTTCCCAGAAATAAGAAGAGAGACCATCAGAATCAACTCAACAGCCCGCTGAAACCTGGCACGCAGAGGTTTCCCTGTCACGACAGTCACCGAGCCCTGGCTGACAGCAGGGCCTCCCGCCAGGCAGCGCGGGGGAGTTGGAGCCCAAGGGAAATGCAGGCTCTTCTCCATGCTGGCTGGCGGGAATAAGTTGGCCATGACACTTAACCTTGGGCCCCCCTAGGCAGGCGCACGGCCCCCGGGTCTGAGGCTCCTTCAGCCTGCAGTTTTGCTCCAGGTTTGCCAGGCTGGCTCATCGGAGGCAGATGCTCTGCCTTCCATGGAGCTCCCTGGAGACATGACCACCCCAGCCACGCATGCAGCAAGACAGCAAAGTCCCACCCTGCTCTGCCCTTAACGCAATGGGGGTTGCCTGCTCTTAATGCTGACTCCTCACCAGCCTCTGGAGCAGTCAGAGAAGCTTCCACCCAGCAGCCAGCTGAAGAGAAGGAGGCACCAAGACCACCACAGCAGCGCCCCACCTCCACAACCAACCTGCTTCAGGAAATAACCCCCCACGCGTTCCACACAGCGGCCAGGGGTCCTACAGGCAGTGGCTGAGATCAGAGTGTGGAACAAAGACAACCCGTGTAGAAATCTGTCCCAAGAGCCATGCCAAGGCACACAAGGGAAAAGGTCCTGAAGACCTATCACCAAATGCCATCCCCTCAGCTGGGGGCACACGCATCTACTCAGGCGTTTGGCCAAGCCAAGCACCATCAGCTGCCAGGGCAGCTCCCAGAGCACCCCTTGGTGTGGCTGGGCAGCTGGGCAAGCCGGGCAAGCTGGGCAAGCACGCCCTGGTCCTACCCTGCGCCTTGGCAGCCCGGGCTGCTCTGTGGGCTCCACGGGGCTGAGGCTACAATCGGAATATCACCACCATGCTGGTTACGCAGCTGGCTTGGGGCAGCGATGTGCCGCAAATGGTGCTTGTCTGGGCTTGGGGGCACACCAGCTCTTTGGGGGACAGCCAGTGTTTTCTTAGAAAATACTTCCCAGTGTGCTAGAAGCAATAAAGCATAGGGAATGTTTCCACACCCACACTTCCCAGTGAGGACCAGCTCGTTTCAGGGGCAGCAACTGCAAATGCCCCCCAAAGTATGGATTTTTGCAAGCTGACACTGGAGCCCAGCATGGTGATCATCAGTGAAGCTCCGCCAGTGCGGGGACAGCATCCAGGCAACGGGGGCTGGGTGCTCAGCTGGGTGTTCCTACCAATGTTCATACCCAGCAGGGTCAACACCGGGATCTCCCCCGCAGGTCTCGGGGCCAAGAAAAGGCAAGCAAAATATCTGGGGCTGGCCAACAACAGGGCAGGTTGGAAGGGAGCTGTGGGGGTACAAACATGCCCTCGTTCGCTAGAAGGGAATAAGATGGTCCTACCTTTTTAGGAGAGAAGACGCCCAGGGTACCTCCATCCTCCCTCATGGCAACACCCATTTCGGCCAGCAATGCCTCCCTGATGGGGCAAGAGAAAGATGAGCCTGTCAAAGCCAAATGAGCCCCAGGGGCAGGAGACGGGACCCAAGCCCACAAGTTTGCCCTGGGAATCACAGCTGCAGGGTTTGCTTCAGCCCCCTCCATGCCCCAGGAGGGCTCCTCAGCGCAGACCATGTCTACACAAGGCTAACATGGTGGGCACTGGGGGCACAGCCAGGGTATGGCCTTACAGTCAAATTGCCCAGCTGCCCCAGGGCTGAACTGCTGTAGACAAAGTTCAGGGGAGGGGAGATGCCTGGGGATC